GGGGGGGGGGGGGGAGGAAAGTGAATCATTTTCCTTCTCTTTTTCTCCTTCCTGATATTTTTCTTGAAGCTCATTTCAGTAGCGAGACACCGTCAGCTTCCCCTAAACTAAAGCAAGAGACAAGATGCAAGAGCCATTGATTCACCTCAGGGAATACTTTGGAGAGATCAAAAAGTGCTCGTGTGCAAGCTGTTTCCTGTGGGAGGAGCGTGGCAGTACAATCAATCCATGAATGCATTGTAAAATCAATGCTCTGTATAATTAGGGCACTCCAAGGGTAAAAAAAAAAAAAAAAAAAGGGGGAAAAAAAAAAAAAAAAAAAAAGGGTAAAAAAAAAAAGGAGGGGAAAAAAAAAGAAGAAAAAAAAAAGAAAGGAAAAAAAAGGAAAAAAATGAAAGAGCTGTTCAATGCATAACAAGACTCTTGAAGGCTGGAGAACTCTCAAGCCCCTGAACAAACAGATTTTGAGCCTGTTTCAGAGGCAGCGAGGGAAGATCTTGGGGAGTTGATGCAAAACCCTTTTATCTTGGTGCTGGGGGCAAGATGCTGAGAGCTCGGGGATACTGGTCACACCTGAGACAGCCCCATCAGTTCTCAGCTGGGACACCTGGGGCTTTGACACCCTGACTGCTGCTGGTGGGGAATGATTCTGATGGCAAACCCCTTTTGCAGCCGAGAGAGGTGATTTGGGAGGAAACACGTGCCCAGAAACCACCTTGGCTGGGTGTGGGGTGGTCAGGGTCAGACCCCCCTGTGCAAATCCAGGCCTCCCCTTGTGATGGTGGTGGTGCAGATCCTCCCCGTCCCACTTCATCCCCTGCAGCGCAGAAAGGCTCTGCCCTCCAAAGATTATTTTTGCATTTAAATACACTATTTCTCAGGAAACTGAATGAAGCCGGATCGTAACTCCCAGCTAAACACAAATGTTAACTATAGATCATGAAAATACAGCGGGGCGTAAATAGTTTTCTTTTATATGGCACTAAATTATAAGCAGAGCCAATTAAGTTTGAAGACAAAAATTCCTTCAGATTAGCAGACACTTTTGCAAGCTCTTGGCGAACGCAATAATGGGTTTTTGCTTGAAAAATCCACTTTGTGGGGTACGGGGAGCCTGTCTCAGGCTGCTGGCCCTGCCTGAACACACTGCAGCTCTTTAACAAAGCCTGGCTCGACAAATTGGGCTTTTAAATTTAAAGGCTAAGCCACTCTTCAGCTTGCTTTTTAATTAGTCAACACTAAAAGATCTCCGAAGATCCAGCTTGCCTCCAAAGATCCTTTCCAGAAATTAGACTCCCAAGCAGGAGTGGAGGGGGGACAAAAACCCCAAACAAACCCTCTGCCACTGTGCTGGTTAACTTTCCTCAGATGGGTCATTAGGTCTTTTATGGATTGTCAGCGTGGAGCAGCAGCTCCTGGTTCCAGGGCAAAGCAAACTACTTCATATTAAAATACATGGCTCTTGTGGGACACGGCACTTCCACGGGGCTGCCTGCAAATTTGGCAAGAGCCCTGAAGTTGAGAAAGACGGATAACCCCGCAAATCAGAAAAGGCAGGTTTTCATCAATAGAAAATTACAGATCCCCGGTGAGAACTCCCATCATTATCTATCAAGAAATAAATTGGCCCGAGTTCCTCTTAACTGGTTCATCTGCTGGTGGGAAGGCCGAGTTCCTCTTAACTGGTTCATCTGCTGGGATCTCGTGGTGGGAAGAACCTTTTGCCTCTGACCAGCCATCGGTTGGCTGGGTGCTTTAATTGCTTGTGAGAATAACTATTGCTACAGTGACCACAAAGCTGCTTATGCCTCAGTTTGAAAAAAAAGTGGGTTTTTTTCAAAGGATTCATTGACCTGGAATATTCTGAGCACTGGCACGGGTGGGCAGGGAGAGGTTGGTGCAGGGGAGAGGTGCAGAGGAGTGTTCCCATGTGCCCCTATAGATCTGCCGTGAGAGCAATCCCCATCCACAGGAACCACCTCCAGGGGCAACGCTTGGTGTCAGAGCTTCATTTGCAGATGAGGCTGAGAAACATCCTCAGGGGGACAAGAAACACCCCAGCAGGGCCACAGGCCAGCTTTGCTGGGGCAACTCTGAGCCTTTAAACCCAGTCTCTGGAAAACACATGGATCTACCCCACCTAAAATACCCAGGAATGTGGAAGGGAAAAAGTGTGTCCCTTTTCCTTTAGGATACATAGGGCATGCTGGATTTGGGCTGACAATGACATCGGCCACCATCCAGCTGATGGCACACGGGCAAGGACAACTCCGCCGAAACAATGCCAAAAGCACTGATTGTGCCCCAAAATAAACGTTAAGGGTGTATGGCTGTAGAAAAGTAGCACCGGGAGGATTTCTGGCACCGAGGAAATAGAGAGGGGGGGTGAGATGAGATGAGAAACATCAGGACTATTAAACCCGGGGTTTAACATCCTCGTCCGGTGGGATGAGCCGG